TGGGGAAGCCACGCTGTCCATGACAAACCCATCGAACCCGGAGAAACCCAGGGCACCCTGGAGGCACGCAGGGAATTCCTTGGCGTGCGTGCCCCACTGTAGACGCACAACTCCCAGGGTGCTCCTGATATGTTCTGCCCCTTCTGGATGCTCGTCGCCCCCTCCCACTTCCCATGCTCCAGATTTCGTAATAAAGGGAGGGGGGTCTCATTTCGGGGGGGGGGTCTCTTCCAGGCTATCTTGGAGGGCCTGGGGGGCTCTGGGGACGGTGTTTTGGAGGGTTCTCCCACGGGGGGGGGTCTGGAATGGCTTGTCTTGGAGGGTCCAGACCCCCTCGCTTTTATTGCGAGATCTGGAGTACCTTCCGCCGCTTCCTGGGCGACGACCTGGGCCTTTTTTCTCTTGCTCCTCCCCCTGGAGACGTGGGGCCCCAGCCCGGGGAGAGAGGGGAGGCCTCCGCCCGCCCCCGCCCGAGGCGCCGGGCCCCACGCCCTCCTGCTCAGAATGAAAGGGGCCCCAGGACGCACAAATAAATACACACCAATCAAAGGATTCCCCCTATGTTCCGATGTTTTCTGGGCTTTTGTCTTCCCCCCCCTTCCCATATTTTCGCATACTTTCTTAGGGGTCGACGATGAATTGTGTCTGTGTGTGTGTCTTTTCCCTCCAGACAGCAAGGGAGCGACAGGGCAGGGCAGGGCGGCAACTGCTGGGAGGCAGTCGTCGGAGGCCTCGGGGGGGTACACCCTGCGAAATGCTTAAGAAATCATGGGTTAAGAAATTCATAGTCTCAGAAATGGAATAAAACCCAGAACTTCTATCAAAATCTTGGGATCTATATTGGAAAGTTAAGAATAATCGAGACTCTGGACGAAAACTGAGGTTTTCTTAAGCATCGCCTAAGGTGTAGGTCGGGCACGGCCCCCTTCAGGGGGATGTTGGGCGAAGCACGGCAGATACCCCCCAAAATACTGAAAAAGAAATACACCCAAACACGGTCCCCAGACTACTTTTTGGCTAGTTTTGAGTATTCCTCCTGTAGAGGGACAGGCCCGACTGAACATTAGAGAGAACGGCGTCCATTTGGGGGGGCTGTCACGCCGGATTGGGCCGCGGATTCAGCGGGATGAAGCCGCATGAAGTGGGACTCAGCCGGATTGAGCGGGATTAACTGGGCTGGACTGAGCCGGACTTCGAACCAGGGCAAGGTCAGAATTTGACCACCCAGGAGTTGCATCCGAACGAGGCTAAAATCGGGTGGGGACAAATCGAGAATCTCTGAGATCCAGCGGCTCTGGAGGATGTGCCTCGGGCGCCGCGGCCTCCTCAGAGCATTCTCAGACACGCTCTGAGAGCCTTCTGGCCTTCTGGAACGCTCTGGAAGAGATTTGACCCCCGTCCTGGCCCCGCCCGAGTGGACGCGGGGTGGGGGGCGGCGGGCCGGGAACTCGCCATCGCTCGAACGCCCATTCCCCGTGCACTTCTCCGCTTCGTGCGCCGACTTTTCCGCCAGATGGTCCCAGATGCTCCTCGAGGGCCCTCGCCGAGAGACAAGGCACGCGCTCGAGCGATCGAGAGGGGAAGGGCGGCGGAGGGCAAAGGACACGGCACACTGCTTAGACGCGCTCGGGCGCACGCGCGGCGGTTTCTCTCTGCGGGCCGCCTCCAGCCCCCCCCCCCCTCAAACCGCCCCCCGCGGGCGCGCTCCGGCGCGCCGCCTATTGCCCTCCTGGTTGTCCCCCGTCCGCCCGACCGCCTCCTCCTTCGCCGCCTCCTTCTCCTCCTCCTCCTCCTCCTCCTCCTCCTCCTCCTCCTCCTCGGAATCGGAGGTCTCAAGGCACGTGACATGGCTGCCTATCTCCTGCTCCTCCTCCTCCTCCTCCTCCTACTTCTCCTCCTCCTCCTCCTTCTCCTCCTCCTCCGCTTCCTCCGCCTCCTCCTCCTCCTCCCCCTCCTCCTCCCTTTCCTCCTCTTCTTCCTCCTTCTCCTCCGCCTCCTCCCGTCCTCCTCCTCCTCCTCCTCCTCCTCCTCCCCCTCCCCCTCCCCCTCCTCCTCCTCCTCCCCCCTCCCTCCCCCTCCTCCTCCGCCTCCCCTCCCCCCTCCTCCCTCCCCCTCCCCCTCTCCTCCTCCTCCTCCCCCTCCTCCTCCTCCTCCTCCTCCTCCTCCTCCTCCTCTCCTCCTCCTCCTCCTCCTCCTCCTCCTCCTCCTCCTCCTCCTCCTCCTCCTCCTCCTCCTCCTCCTTCTCCTCCCTCCTCACCTCCCTCCTCCCCGTCCCTCCTCCTCCCTCCTCCTCCTCCTCCTCTCCTCGCCTCCTCCTCCTCGGAATCGGCATCGGGATCGGGGTCTCAAGGCACGTGACATGGCTGCCTATCTCCTCCTGCTGCTCCTCCTCCTCCCCTCCTCCTCTCTCTCTCCTCCTCCTCCTCCTCCTCCTCCTCCTCCTCCTCCTCCTCCTCCTCACAGTCAACCCGTTGGACCTTTTCCCTGGAGCTCGCGCGCGTCCTGGCCAGAGCCCTGGTCGTGGCGGCAAGGGCCTTCCAGCACGGCCCCCCCTAAACGAAAAAGACAAGCGAAAATCTCAGCGCTTCCTCCTGGCTCAGGTGAGAGTTCCCCCCCCGCCCCGTCAGCTACGCCCTCCGCGCCCCCCCCCTCCTGGCGCATACGGTGCACACGGCGGGCAACATCCCCCCCCTCCTCCACCTCAATCTTCGTCTCCTCCTCCTACTCCTCCTCCTCTTCCTCCTCTTTTTCCTCCTCCTCCTCCTCCTCTTCCTCTTCCTCTTCCTCCTCCTCCTTCTTCCTCCTCCTCCTCATCCTCCCCCCATCCCATTCTCCCCTGATCCCTTCTCCCCCCTGCTCGATTTCCACATTCGGTAATGTGTCTGTGTCTGCGTGGTTTCAGCGGGACTGGCCCAGCCTGGCTCGAAGCCGGGCTCGTTGTCGTAGGCGTCCATGTCTGGAGGCCGGGTTGCATGGGAGGAGGAGGAGGAGGAGGAGTGGGGGTAGACGCCGCGTCGAAGGAGGAACAGAGCGTAGGAGCAGGAAGGAGGAGAAGGGGGGCTGGAGTGGGTGGAGAAAACGGGTAGAAGAAATAGGAGGAATATGAATTGGAATACGGGTATTCCAAGTAAGAAACTGTAACATTGTTTTCGGTTCGACGGACAGATTCGATGAACTCGAAGGTCAACTTTTTTATGGGTAACCGAGCAACAGCAACACCGAGCGGAAACGCGACATCTCTGGTGTCTGGCCATGCTTCAGAAACGTCTATTGCGGACGAACATGGACAGCCGAAGGGAAAGGGGTGGGAGGAGGAAAAAGAAGCAGGAAGACAGTCACGCCAGAGGTGTAAACAATCACTAGTCAGGCATGGAGGCCACCAGGCAGCTCGCATCTCCGCCCATCACTGAAACCATGTCGAACTAAAACTGCAGGCGATGGGGGGGACAGGAAGGATGGGGAGGAGGAGGAGGCGGCGGAGGAGGAGGACGACGCCGACGAGAGGAGGGGGCAAACGAGGAGGCGTGCAAACAGTAACGAGAGCTGGCGGGCCAACGCCTCACGGCTGACGCGCTCCCCCCGGCATCTGAGAGCGGACCTGCCGCGTGTGAAGGCGACCGCGAGGCGGGCGAGGGCGGTCGGAAAGCCAGGACACGGCGGGCCCGTGGCAGCGTCGCGGTCAGGGAGCGCCGGGCGAGCCGGAGCGGCCAGAAACTCCGGGTCCAGCTCCGCGCGCCCTGGCGCGGGCGCCAACGCCTGCACCCTGAGGCGCACTCCGCGCCACGACCCACGACCCAGGAGAAATAAAGGAGAAGAAGAAAAAGAAAAAGCAAACACGACATAAACATTAATTTTTGGCGCTCCGCGCGGCTTTTGGATCTGCGCTGGACCCCCCGGCGCAGGTCCAAGACATCCATGGTTCAGCTTCCTCGACACTCGCCCTCGTCGGCGTCGCCCCCCCGACGTCTGCCGGCTTCCTGGAGCCCGTCGCGATCACGCCTGTGACCGGCCAAGCCCCGCCCCCACCCGCTGCGCCCACGGGTTAGGTCGCGATTCTCGGGCCGGGCGAAAGGGGGGGATAGCAAAGGGGGGTTTGAGAATCAGCTCACGTATAGCTGATTTTCCTGGCGCCTCCCGGCGCCAGAGGTGGACATGTATCGTGGAATGGGCAAGGCGGCGGGGCCGAAACCAGCTGCATGCAGCAAACCCAGAGATCCGATGTCGTGATTCTTTCCATGCGCCGTCCCCGGAAATCTCGACCCATTCCCCAGGACCGGTTTTTCATCCTGGGTCGTTTTCTGCCGGTCCCGAGGCCCGGCGAGGGCCCCTACTGGGGTGACCGAGGGTCGTGCTAAGCAGTTGCATAGGATAGAAGCACATATAACCTAACATATAACCAAGCTATCTTAATATATAACGTAGTCATCCCGCCCTGAATCCTCCCTATCCTTGTTGGGCATTCGGCCAAGTACTTGAGTGACTTAAGCTATCTTGGCTTCTTCCACAAGGCAAGTTAGACGTGCTTAGTAAGTAGATAGCACATCCGCACTATGGTGGATAGGGTTGCGTTTGGCAGTTTAGCTATCTCACTTAGCAAATTGCTAACCTCACTTAGCTAACCTCCCTAACCAAAGATAGACATACAAAAACAGCATCGAATGATCATAATTCGGTGACAACAACAACAAATTTCTGGGACCACAACTTCAGATTTCGGCGCCAACGGTGCCAGATTTGGACAACATGAACACCAGATTTATGCAACATAACATTGAAAACAGTTCTGGTGTTGGTAGGCTTCAGGTCGTGATGTCTCCATTTCTCCCACGCATGAGCCTGACACAGGTCGGCAGAATTTCGTTGTCCGTGTCTTATGTTGGGATATACCCATCGCGTGTTGGGGGTGGGGGGCTCGACATAGCCGTTGTGGCCCAGACTCCTTGAGGCAGTCACGATCCTTGCCAGGTCCTCGGTCTCTTTCACTTTCAGCCAGTCTCGACATGGAGGCGGCATTGCAGGAGGTGGCGCCATACATCAACGAACTGACAAATGACAACCCATCGAGTGCCGACGATGCGCAGACGAAGACGAAACTCGCTGCCATTTTGAAGCTTCTCATCGAGAAGGACTTGGCCTACGTCAGCTTTGTCTTCCCCAAGAAGATGGGCTGCCACGTGCGGAACAGGTGCGGGATCGGCCTCGACCCGTGCGACGTCCACGACTTGTTGGCGCAGATTCTGTTGGACGGCTTTGTGCTTTCGGAAACTAAGAACGCCATCGCGTTCGAGGTGAACCCCAAACGACGCGCAGTGGTTGTTCAACGATCACCTGGCCAAGAGTTCCAACGGCATGCTGAGGCCGCTCCTTAAGGAGGACATGTCCTTTGTTTCTGTGTCTTGCTCCCACACGAATGGGGGCCTCAACGCCATCGACTACAAGTGCAGCACCACCGTCGAGGCCGCTGCCACGAACGGGAAGCTTGCTATCGAGAAGGTCGCTGGAGGGGCCAACTAAAACACCCCCCCCCCCCCCTCAAACATTAAGAACGCACGCGCTACATGTAATACATAGCACACCTGACGTTATAAATAACAACATCAACATACAAAAGACAACAACATAGCATAGCATAGCAAGGGGCGTCGGCCGAGTTTTGGGGGGCGCGATGAGGAGGCACCGAGGAGGGGGATTGATGGGCAGGCGGGGGGGGGGGGAGGAAGATGATGATAAAGAAACTGAGGAGCTGCTGGGAGGATGGGCGAGGGCGGGAAGAAGGATATGGAGGGGGAAGAGGGGGAGGAGGGGGAAAATGAGCTGGGATAGGATGATGATGAGGAGGGAGAGGGGGGAGAATGATGATAAGAGGACGAGGAGGAGGAGGAGGAGGAGGAGGAGGAGGAGGGAGAGGACGAAAGACAAGAAACGATAAGAAACTTTTAGCCTACCCGAAGGTGAACGCCATCAACCCGCCCTACGCGGCAGCAGTGTCGTCGGGGCTCGAGTGGACGATCATCCGCTGGCAAGTGGAGCATCATTGCCCTCACCTGGCCGACTTCATCCAAGCAGCGGCCAACCGAGGGCACAACACTAGGCGGGTCACGACGGACGCCCAGGCGCTGATGCAGATGCATCGGCTCGGCGCTCGCAACATGCAGGTACAGCACGCGTTCATGCGGGACATGGTCGCGAGACACGTCGAGGGCCAGCATTCGCATTTACGTGGCCACGCGCGTGACATGTGCTCGTTCGTGGAGAAGTGGAGCGGAGGCAGCGACGCGCCGCTCTTGAGGAACCTCGACGAGTGGTGCAAGACGCTGCAGTCACGCCGACGCGTTCCAGGATCGGCATTCAAAGTCCTGGCCAACTTGGACCTGATAAGCTGCCCCGAGACGATCTACTCACTCTTGAAAGCTGCGATCAAGTCGCCAGCGAAGTTCGTCACCCCTGGCGCCAACATGAGCAGGCTCATCAACGGTAGTGATTGCAACGCCTTGGCGACTAAGCAGCGCGGCTTGTGCATCCAGCTGTCCACCATGATCAAGGCTGCTACAGCCTGGTTCGGTGATCATGCTCAGAAGACCGATCCTTCGCTCAAGCGGTCGGTGTTCGTCCAGGAGCTCGGGACCATGGAGGTCAACGGAGTCACGATGATGATGAAGAAAGCCGCTCGTGGCGTGCAGGCTTACACGTCGCTCGAGGCTGTCGGCGCCGACTTCTTGGCCAGAATCTACGAGCTGGCCCCCAAGACGAAGGACCTGGAGCCGCCGTTTTCTCCCGAGAAGCCCCAGCCGAAGAAGAAGGGGGGAAGTCCTGACAGCTCCACTGGCTTCACAGAGCTGGCGGACGGCATCGACGGCGGCCGCCTCAAGCAGCTTGGCCTCATCAAAGGAGCTACCGTTTCGCTGAAGACGCCCCTGGAGAAGGGTGAGGGCGACAAGTACATCATCAAGTGCATCGTAGATTCGCAGGTGAGACTTCTGAGCGAGAGCGACGTCGAGAAGGCGGATGGGAAGAAGCCGCCCGTCATGAAGTCCAAGTCCAAGAAGAGGGGCAAGAGCGGCGATGACGAGGCCGACGAGGACGACATCGAGGACGGCACGGACGGCTCCATCAAGATCTCCACTGGGGACTTGGTGGACCTCTACAAGGTCAGGCCACGACGGCGACGACGACTCGAAAACACACGGCCCCCCCTTAACATTTCACCCTACGGAATCCGATCGGGGCCCTGGGGGGCCGAACCGATAAGCCGGCCTGGAGGGGCGGGGGGGCCGTCCGAGGTGGTGCCGAAAGTGGTGGCCCACAACTACGCGGTGGTGGGCTTTGACGGCGTGCTGGACCGCCGCATTCCCTTTTCCCTTACTGGGCGGAGGAAAGGGAGGAGAGGAGATGCGATAAGTCGCAGCATGAACATAAGTAAGATCATGAGTAGGAGGGCGAGGAGGAGCAGCAGCAGCAGGCAGCACCAGGGGGAAAGGAGGGGAGGGAGGAGGGAGGGAGGAGGGAGGGAGGAGGGAGGGAGGAGGGAGGGAGGAGGGAGGGAGGAGAGGGAGGCGGGGAGGGACGAGGGGAGGGAGGAGGGAGGGAGGAAGCGAGGGAGGACGAGAAAGAGGAAGGAGGGAGGAGGGGAAGGGAGGAATGAGCAGGAGAGGGAGGAGGGAGGGGGGACGGGACGAAGAGAGAGGAGGGGGGGATGGAGTGAGAACGCGTGGTGGCCGCAGGACCACGCCGAGATGTCGCTCATGGCCACACAGGCCCAGCTGAGGCTGGCCTTGATGCACGCCTACAGGATTGCGAGCAAGTCTGTCAACCTGCAGGTCACTTACGCTGTGGACCCTAAGGTGGAAGTCCATAAGGTCATCGCCATGAAAAAATATGAGAAGAACCAGTTGTTTTTTAACCCCCTTGTCTCTATGGTGCCACGTGGGCCCCACTAATAAAATGCCTGCGAACGCCGTGGTCGTGAAAGAATTTCCGCATGTTCCCAGTCACTGCAGTGCCTATGCGCTCCCGTGTGTATTCTACCCCGAACAGCGGGCGCTCAAGAAAGACCCGCTGGTGATTCCATTTTGGAACGTCCCCGCAACCGACTCGAAATCTGATGTAAATATGACGCCGTGCACTATCAGGATCGAGGTGCAGCGGGCCACGCTGGGTCTTGCGAAGGACGGCGTGTGCAAGATCGAGGTTCCTATCCCCGCTTTGTGGAACGCAAAGCCAATTCAGCAGGGTGCCAAATTGTACCGCCAGCGCGCCGAGGCTGCGACCACTTCGAAGGAGAGTGCCTCCCCTTCTGGGTCTAGCAGCAAGAAGTAGTAGCCATGAGCGGCTTCACTACTCAGGCGCCTTGCCCCCCCCCCTCTTGCCAGTGGTCGCCATCCCTGGATTCGCCGTGAAATCATAGTTGATGAGGTTCGGGTCCCATTCGAGTTCGCCCTTATCCTTTGCGCGGTGGCACCTGCTGGAACCTATGCCGTAAGTGAACATCAGCTTTAATGAGTGCGCCCACCCCGCCCCGCACAGACTCGGAGGTGGCCCGTGCGATGGCCAGAGTTGGGGGTTGCCACGCTTAAGTATATAGGTCAGGGTTGAAGTGTTTGGGAACACGTGAGCCACTCGGCTCGGGATCCTCTAAGTCGCTTCAAGGGGTGGCGCACTAGTAGGAAGGAATTTTGTTGCCTCAAGCCCCTGGGCTTGCTGTGAATCTGTTGTGGGCCGCAGATCGCACAGTCGGATACGTCGACTGGGTCAGGCACCTCCGCCCCCGAGAGATGGAGACGTGAAAATACACACCACGTGGGAAGACAGCGGACATGATGGAAGGCGGGGTAGAGCACGAGGATGGAGGAGGAAGCAGAGAGGAGGAGAAGGAGGAGGAGGAGGAGGAAGACCCCGAAAAGCTTGGACACACAATCACGATGTTCGGACCCATTGGAACGGGAAGGGGGAATGAGGAGGAGGAGGAGGAGGAGAAGGCTCAGGACGGGGAAGAGGAAGAAAAGTAGGAGGAAGAGGAGGGGAGCGAGACACTCGACGCAGTGTTGGCCGCCCCTCTGTTATGCCGACGGTGCTGCCGACGGCCGCCGGTCGCTACCCTCGCCCATCGTCCTCGTCATCGCCATCCCATTCCTCATCCTCCTCTTCCTCGGCCTCGTCCTCTATCGTATCACCCTCTCCCGCCTTATCCTCGTCTTCCTCCCCCCCTTGGCTCCCTCCTTGCCTTCCTTTCCTTTTGCTCATGCGGCCTCTGCCCGACGCACTCTGAGCTCGAGAATGTAGTTCCCCTCGGTGCCCGAACGTGAGTGTCGATTCCCGATAGCAATGGTTTCGATCGTTGGGGACTGGGTGGCCATCACCAAAGACGACAAGCCAGCGTCCACAGCATCCAGCTGGTTTGCTTTGAAAGAGGAGTTCGAAGAGAGACCGTACATCACGATCGATCGCATCGATAGCAAGTTCACTAAATACGTTGGCGGTAGCTTCTCGATGCTCGATGCCATCATCAGGGCGCGAACCGAGGAGTGCGATAGGCTCATGAAAGAGGCCAAGCCCAGCAGGACGCCGAGGCAGGCGACCAACCCGTCCCCGAGGGCCCCCTCACGAAGCGCCCGAAGAAGGAGATGGTCGACACCATTCCAGGCGCATCCATGGACCCGAAAATCTTGATCGGGGCCCTGGGGAGCCGAGCCAGGTTCTTTGTTGATGGTTACCGCCCTGGAGGGGCGGGTGGGAGGAGGGGGGGGGATGGAGAGCGAGGGTGAGGCAAGAGCGGAGGAGAAGGTGGATAAGGAGGAGCAGAGGAGGAGGTGAGGGATGAGGATGGGCAGATGGATGCGGTGCATTGGTGTCGATCAGCCAAGCCCCGCCATCCCCCCTCCCAAGGGTCATGCGAAGTCCACGTGACGGACTCCGACAATTGCCAGCATTCGCTCACCGTCAGGACTTCAGCTAATTCCAGGACTAAGCTCCGCATGGAGTTGACCAAAGAGAACCTAGAGGTATTGCTACTTGACGCCAAGAGCCAGCATGGCCCGCAGTGGAAGCCAGACTTAGAGAACGAAGATATCGATTGGATTCCATACAGGCGGCACCTCTCTATTAAGTACTACAGCAGTGATAAGTCTAAGTGGGTAGCCAAGTCTATGCCGATCATGTTGGGGACCCCTGAGCAAATGCAGGCATCCGCTGAGAAGATTGCGTGCGTCTTGGCAGAGTATAAGGTCCAGCACCACTCAGAACCCGAAGGCACTGACACGCCCCGATAGGTCTAGGTAGTTATGCACCAAAGGTGAGCGCAAGCATTTTGCTTCTGATGCATTGCAGGTTGATCTAGAATTCGTTGTATGGTTAGGTGCGCACACGCTGGGGTCAGATGCTAGGAACCATACATAACTAGTAAAGTGCGCCGTGCGTGGCAGTGTAAGCTGACTAGTAGGGGGCGCCGGCTGTAGTCGCGAAGCGAGTGGTACATGGAAAAACATACTCCTGATACGCTCATGAATGTATGTACGGGCGACCTGGGGTGGCTTGGCCTGAAGGGGTTTGGCCATGATGTCGCACTGCCCAGACACGACAGCACCGAGATCGAGCTCACGGCTTGAACTCCTGAGGGGGAGTTCAAGCCACGTGCTTGAACTCCCCCTGGGGAGTTCAAGCCACGTGCTTGAACTCCCCCTGGGGAGTTCAAGCCACGTGCTTGAACTCCCCCTGGGGAGTTCAAGCCGTCAGCATCTATGACATAAAAGAAAACAATAAGAAGTTATGAAGCCGCGGCTTGAACTCCTGAGGGGGAGTTCAAGCACGTGGCTTGAACTCCCCAGGGGGAGTTCAAGCACGTGGCTTGAACTCCCCAGGGGGAGTTCAAGCACGTGGCTTGAACTCCCCAGGGGGAGTTCAAGCCGTCAGCCGGAATTCCACTCTCAGCTGTCATCCGAACTCGGCGCGGCTCGAAAAAACATCAAAAGTGTCAGGTGTGGGGGGTGATCGGCGGCCTCCAGATCAGACGAAACCGAGCTTCGAGTCACTGTGTTACACTATGCTACGCTATGCCAGTCATCCCTTACACGCTTTGCTGTGCTATGCTACGCTGCCCTTATACGTTGCGCTATGCTATGCCATGCTCGCTCGGGGGCCCCAGCGATGTGTAATGGGGGTGCCCTTTACAACAATGTACACATGGTAATGATATGCTATGCTATGCTGCGGTACGGGTTGATGGCTATGTCCACGGCGTGCTATGGCACTGACCGCATATGTTATGCTACGCTATGCTCAGCAATAGACACATGGCAACAGCTCGCAAGTTTGGTCATGGACCACCACCCGTAGCCGTTTTTGGCTCAAGCTTTTAGCGTTTCTAAGTTCACCTTACGTCTTCCGACGGTCGCGGAGGATGTCGGACCAGACGAACGTGGCACATACCCTCGTGGCCAACTTGAGGCAGCGCGTGGCCTTCGCCACCGCCCAAGTGAACGCGGGCTTAGACCGCTCCATGATCATGCAGGCGCAAGCGGATGCGTTCTCGCTGGACGTCCAGAATACCAGCGGCATCACGCTCGAGATCGCCACGGAAGTCTCTGCCGAGGTCTCCGCTTTGCACTCCCCGTGGACACCCGAGCAGCGCGCTACTCTGGCTACAGTCTTGGGCAACTGCGCCCAGAAGAAGGGCAGGGCCATAAAAGGTTCGGCCAGGCCGAACCAGACGATGCTGACCATGGAGAAGTACTTCACCGAGGCCGACTGGACCTTCCTCCAGGACCCTACGGCTTCGGTGACCCCGAAGCTTGACTACATGGCCCAGCGTCTCTGGCGCCTAGGGCTCACTTGCCCCAGCATTCCGACGATGAAGCGTGGAGTTGCAATCGTGCTTCTCGTGGGCCTCCCTCCAGAGATGTCCGATATCTCAGCCGAGACGAAGACGCAGTGGTCCAAGGCCCTCAAGAAGGCGATCAAGACACTGGACTCGCAGAACGAGTGGCCAGGCACGCACTTGGTAAAGTATCCCGTGCTCCCCTCGGAGCTCCCTCGCTCAATGCTGGACTTCGCCTACGAGGGCAAGGGGTTGCCTGTGGCGCCGCCGAGCGCCGTCACGCCGATTGCGCTCGACAAGGCAGCGAGTGCTTTCGGGTATAAGAGGTCGCACACCACGCTCCAGACCCAGCAACCTACGTCTACGGCCGTTGTGCCGTTCGCCTCGCCAGCTCCGTCGGCTGGGGGCCCTCTCAGCTTGACTGCCCAGAACCTGCAGAACTTCGGGGCGATGCTCCAGCAGATCGAAGCTCTGAGGAACTTCGGGGCGATGTTCCAGGGTGGCCAGCCTCAGGACGGTTGTGGCTTGGCCAACTTCAAGGACCTGAGGCCGACGGCGAGTGCCACCAAGAGCCACGGTACGCTGAGCGCCGAGACTTTGCCGATGGCTGTCGCATCGTCCCCTGGGACCGCGTCGCTGACCCCCGTGGTTGACTCGCAGGGGTCAGGGAGTCAAGGTGCCGATGCAGCACCCAGTGGAGCCGAGGTACCTGGCGCAGCAGCTGCGGATGAGGCCGATGCGCTGGAGGAGGCGATGTTGGCCTCCGCGAAGGCTGCAGGGAGTCACTTGGCAGCGAAAGCTGACAAGAAGGACACGGGCGGCAAGGGCAGGGGCAGGGGGAAGGGCACGACCAAGGGCAAGGGCAAGGGCATGGGCAAGGGCACCAAGCCCCCGCCCACGGACAAGGGCCAGGTGGTCCAGAGCACCTCGAAGCAGGCCGTCAAGAACGCGCCCAAGGTGGGTCTCCCCAAGGGGGTTACAGGCCCGCGAAGGGTATGAAGACGACGACGACGACGACGACGACGACTACGACGACGACGGCTCGAAAACACAAGACCCCCCTTTAACATTTCACCCTGCGGAACCCGATCGGGGCCCTGGGGGGCCGAACCGATAAACCTGCTAACAATTTGATTTTTTACAAGCCTGGAGGGGCGGGTGGGAGGAGGGGGAGGGGAAGGAGGAGGGTAGGGGCAAGGGCAGGATGGGGAGAGGGAGGGATGGGGAGGGATAGGGAGGAGGGGTGAGGGCTAAGTGTCCTCAGAGGGGCTTTGTATGGTTTATGGCCCCGAGGGGGGTTAGTGACGCGTTAGGTTTGGGGCCCTCTGGTGGTTGTGGTCCTGGGGTCCTTTAGGGTTTGAGGGTCCTGTCGGGATTGGGGCCATGTCGGGTTGGGGGCCACGTCGGGTCTAGGGTCCTGGAGTGCTTGGGGCCCTGTTGAGCTCAGGGTAATGTAAGGTTTAATGCCATGTAGGGTCTAAGGTCATGTAGGGTTTAAGGCCATGTA